AAAGTCAAAAAATTAATTATTTCACGTGTGGGATAATTTAAGTCCCACTTGAAAAAGTCAAATCATTAAAATAAGACTTTTAAATAGTTGGTATCATTTTGACCCTTTGTAAAGAGTCAAATGGCCATTTTGGTCATTTTGGTCATTTTTATTATTTTTATATGATTATTTTTAAAATATAAACCATTAACAATTTTATTTCTTTGTCAGAGAGGAAGGATACTTTCAGCAGATCTCTATTCGTAGTTGGAGAAATTGGTGGAAATGATTACAACTATGGTTTCCTACAAAGTTGGTCCTTTCAAGAAGTCAAATCTTTGGTTCCTCATGTCATCAACACAATTAGTACTGCAATTCATGTTAGTATTTACTTTGCACTATGATAGTTAATTTATATATTTTGAAAATATTATAATTAATGTTAGTATAAAAATTTCTTTGAACCCTAATGAATGACACAAAATGAATAAGATTATTTGATTCTAAGCATTCTGAACTAATCTTTTTTATTGCCAGGATTTAATTGATATGGGGGCAAAGACTTTGTTAGTTCCTGGAAACTTCCCAATAGGATGCATAGCAGCATTTCTCACATACTATGAGAACTCAAAAGTAGAAGACTACAATATGAGCACAGGCTGCATTAATTGGCTGAACGAGTTCTCAGAGTATCATAATAATATTCTCAAGCAGGAGCTCAATCGTCTTCGCTATATTCACCCCCACACCACCATCATTTACGCTGATTACTTCAATGCAGTTACGAACATCCTTAGCCCTGCAAATAGCACAAGTGAGACAAATTATTTTCTTTTCCCTTCACTTATTTGGACTTTATTAAGGTTTCATTTGGGACGGCTTTCTTTCTGCTTCTTAAAGATGTTTTATAGTACAAAAAATTTTAACTTCTATATTAAGAAGCTTTCTTAAGAAGTAATAAGAAAGCTGTCCCAAATGAAGCCTAAGACCCAATATATATCAACTTTCTATTGCAACATCTACCTTAAATATTTGTTGCAGGGCTTGAAAGAGTACCTTTAGCTGCATGTTGTGGTAGCGGTGGCGGTCGATACAATTATGGAAAGAGCATAAGTTGTGGCAGCGAGAATTCGACTGTGTGCGGCGACTCGTCGACTTATCTTAGCTGGGATGGCATGCACTTTACAGAGGCAACTTATAAGGCCATAGCCAAGGGAATCCTGGAAGGGCCTTTTGCTGATCCTTCTATCAATAAGACATGCAGTTCTTCCAATATTGGATATGTGGTAAAAGAACTCACAATTAATGTTTCCAAAGCAGATTAGAGGAGAAAATTTTGTATAAAAAATGTATGTACGTACTAAGGGATCCTATTGCAGTAAGTTGGCTTTCAAAAAAGATAAAAATTGAAGCTTTGTATAGGGGTAGCTTTCATGCATATTGCTTTCTAAGGGCATCTCCAACCGAAAACTTCATTTTTCACGGCAAAGTAACGCAAAAACTCCAAAATGGCACGGGATGCTCCAATCGAACGCCATTTTAGGTGTTTTTGAGAAGGTAACGATCGCTCTCCCTTTCGCGCGTTTTTCGGGTTGAGAGAAAAAATGGCGTGAGTGAACAGTGCGACGCCAATATTGGCGTCGCACTGTTCACCTGCGATTAAATGGCGAAAATTTTGGAGTTCGGTTGGAGCGAGGGAACGACTCCATACACGTGTGGCTTAAAAAAAAGAGTGTGCCAGCACATAGGTGGCTTTTTTAGTGAGATGGTGAATAAATCAGTGAGTTTCAATGCAAGACTAAGATTTTATTTGGGATATTTTTTTACTTTTTATGAAGCAGTTTCTTAGTACAAAAAAAATTAAATTTTAAATTTTGTAATAGAAAGCTGCTTCATAAAACAGTAAGAATCTGTCCCAAATGAATCATAGGATGACTTTTTTGCTGCTTCTTAAACTAATTTTGTAGTACACAAATTTTAATTTTTATACTAAAAAATTATTTTGAGAAGCAAAAAGAAGTCGTCCCAAAATATGCCTATGACTTCATTTCATATAACTGTCTTATTGCTTATTAAAACAATTTTTTAGTAAAAAAAGAATTAGTTTTTATACTTAAAAACTGCTTTAAGAAATAGTAAAAAAGCCATCCCAAACGAATCATAAAATTTTAATTGGGTCAATTTTTTTATTGGTTTCTGAAACAGCTTTAATTATTCTAGTAAAAATTTTGTTTGAACTTAAATTTTTTTGTACTAAAAAATTTTTTTAAGAAAACAATAATAAATATCTCCCAAATAAAGCTTAAATAGACAAATACACGCACAAGTAGGTGATTTTATTGGCGAGTTAGTGACATACCAACAAGTCAAAAGACCATTTGAGCAAGTCAACAAATTTAATGACAAGTAGCATATACTTTTTTTAAGTCTATGAAAATTTTAATCACCAAAATTTCATAATACAATTATTTCATTTTTTTAGCATACAAAATTAATGAAAATAAAATCATTATTTTTACCCACAAGTAACATTGTATTAAAACAAATAGATTCATATTTACTCTAATCTTTCATGCCAATTAAATATTCAGAAACTAAGAATTCTTGTTAAATATCACACTTTAAAAAAAATCAAGTATTTTGAATACATTATACAGATAATTAAAGTGCTAATTGCATGCAAAAAAGTGTTTAAATAGATTACTTTAAAATATGTATATTATTTATTGTTGTATTGTTAGACAATAATATTATCTTATATGAATACAAAAATCATGTCTTCCTTTTTTATAAGAACAATATAGAATACAAACATTCAAAATTTTCTAAAAGAAATGAATTATTATAATATTTTTGGCAATATTTTTATTGTTAAGAATATGAAAACAATAACTAGATGGTGTCTTAGGCTTCGTTTGGGACAGTTTTCTTACTGTTTTTTAAAACAATTTTTTTATACAAAAATTTTTAATTTAAAAATATTTTGTACTAAAATACAATTTTAGAAAGCACTAAAAAAATTGTCCAAAATGAAACTTTAGTAAACTCATTTCATCTAAATCAACTCTCACATTATATTATTACTAATATCATGATTTAATATTAATTATATTTTTTACTGATTTAGTAGTATACAATATTCTAAATCATGATACTCACCATTGAATATTTTTCATAATTTATATATGGTTTTAAATAAAATGTTATGATATGATATTTTGATTAGTTTCTGTATTTATGACACAAATATATACATGCTTGCAAAAAAAAAAAAAAATGAAGTATTACCGATGAATTAGAACATCATGGTAACAACAAAAATAGAAGAAATTTTATCAATCTCTCTTCTTATATTTATACGACATTCAACTTAATATTAAGTAAATAGATTTAAGTTTTTTTTTTTTCATTCTAAATTTTTATTTCGAACAATTTGATCGAAATCAAATGCTATAAATTGATCAATATTAGAACTGGGAAGCTATATAAAAATGGACTTGGATCTAAATTGAACCGATTGAAAAATTGGTTCGCGATTGGGCTAGTCAAACCAGTTGGTACAATTCAATTTTTAAAATGATTGCAGAGGTACGTAGTATAGGTGCTTGGACAAAATAATGATGATACATGGTGTTATATTTTTTATGATTTAAAAAAAAATGTAACGAAAATAATTATTACTGTTGTAACATAAATAATTATTACTATTATAACAGAAATAATTATCACTGTTATAACCAAGGCTTTTAAAACCGGACCGGTCAATGAATCGGAAGAAGGAGGGGTTAGAGGTTTGATGGTTCGACCGGGGTCGAACCGGGGTCGAACCGGATGACGTAATAAATATTTATTATATTTAAATATTATAATAATGACACAATTATTTATAAATATATAACAAAAATTGAAAAAAAATTATAATACTTTTACTTATATAATAGTGAAATGTTAGTCAAATAAATTCAAACATTTAAATCTAAAGGATATAAACTATATT